TAGAAGAGATGTTGCCAGAAAAAGAAAACTGGAATGTCGCTGATTTTGCACTGCTGCAGGACCAGGAGAAGGCCATGTCGTATTTGCCATGGCTCTCACTTACTTGGAAGATGTTACGTCCTGTTCCTGTAATAAAGAATTTTTGGTATAAGTTTTTATTTCTAAACTAGCTTTGTATCATGCCATGTTTTTTGAATGATTCTTTTATTTGAAGTGAAGTGTTAAATTTTAATTTCAATTTGGTTTTTTATCTTATTTTAGTAATCGCTATTTACATCATTACGACATACGAACAAAGGCGTTCTAATAATATGACAGTACGATTGAGCTTGAAACATTAAGTTTAGATGCATTCTGATGTTCTCTCTGTTACTGTGAATTAGTTATTTAGAATTTTGAGTGTTCAGGATTTAAATTTTGATTTTTATTGAAGGTCGAAAGAGGTTGAAAGATTACGTGCGGCCTGTGAAAGATTTGATGGGGATACAGAAAAAGCTACAGATTTTTGTATGCCAAAACTTCCTCTAATAAGTATTGGCGAATATAAGCGTGCTCTAAATTTGTTTTTGGAACAAAAACCAGTGTTTCTTCATCATCTTGATATTAAGCAATTACAGAAGAGGCACGAGTTTCAATTATTCTTAGTGCTCCAGTAGTTATTAGTTACGGAAATTAACTATGATTGCTATCTTTAGCATTTACATTTTAGAATTTGCATGAAGCATGATTGTATTATATTGCTATACATTTTCAATAATTTTAGTCATAATCAAAAATACATGCCAAGAAGTATTCGAATTTTAAGATCATGGAAATCCCAAACGCTAGCTAGTTATTTTGAGTACCATGTATAGGAACATAAACAGTAATAGAGACCTGTGTATGCTAGTACTTGTGTCGTATCAGTAATCTAAGAAATTCATATTACAGAATTGAAGAGGAAAATTTAATTGGTTATTGTACAAATGGTTTAATCGAAGCTGAATTTCTGAAAAGAATGCTGTCCATACACGTTTCAAATTTTAGAAAATCCATGGGGGCAGTGAATCTAAGAAATATCACCTGTATTGGTAAGCGCTTTTAAAGAGAATTATTCTCTAAAAGTTTATCTGTAAAAGTTGGAAGAAATGATTTATGATTACTAGCCTTTCTTGCAAAGTAAGTCAGTTAGTTCACAAACTGTAATATGTCGGGACTAAATGTAGTGTAACTTAGTGTCGTAAGACTGAATACCTGCTGCGCCGTAATCAGTCATGGGAACTTTAAATTTTCAGACTGGATTACCGTCCTCATCGAGTACCTGAAACATTTGGATGGAAGCAGTAGGAAATGGCATTACAGTATGAAGCATGTAAGGGAACTTGTTTCAAAAAAACTGGGAAAGAAGTGTGGAAATGTTTTGGCTAGCAGTAGTGGTAATACTGTGAATGGCGATGAGAATGACTCGTTTTCTTATTCAGCAACATCTAATAGAGCTCCCAAAGATGAACGAAAAGACTATATATCATATATTAATGGTTTAGAAGTGAACAACATAAATAGTCAAGAATCTATAAGAAATGAGGAACCAATTTCCGTCAATGTTTATATCGAATACTTTATCGAAAAATTAAAAAAGCTTATTGAGTCTCGGATTCTGTTGTTTGATGAGCAACGGCAACGAAAATTCACGAAGAAATTAAGGAAAATAATGAAAAAGGATGAGAAATTAGAATCATTGCAAAAATTGGTTGAGAAAATGATTTTCAGTTTGGAAGATGAGCAAAAAATGAAATTGACCAAGAAGTATCAAAAGATTATGAGGAGATTACAACGGATGCAATTAACGGAAAGTAGTGAAAGCAACATTCACTGTGAACTTAATGAAGTGGAAATGTCTGGTAAAAATTATGGTGAAGGAGGTGAGATGGAAAATTGCACGGAGTATTCTGGAACAATTGCTGAAATGACCGAGGAAACAAAGCAGTTAGGTACTGATATTGATTTTGGTGTTTTGAACTCATTGAAGTTGCAGATCAAAAAGAAAGGAGGAGATAGTAAAGGAAAATCAAGACAGAAAAGAGAGGAAATGAGAGCTGTTCGAAGAAATTCTATTTCATCAGAGATAAATAAGCTAGCGGAATCAATTCAAAAATCAGAGAGTGAAGCTGTGGATATAGTTCCATTACCAAAAAAGAGTAAGGGTACTAAGCATGGACGAAAAGGAGATTTTAATACCATGACTAGTTTTCTTACTTAACAATGTAAGCTGTTAAAATCCAAATAGTCTTGTCATTCTCACTGTTTTATTTTTTGGCGTATGTACATCAGATTTGTTATTCGTTTGCCTTTTTATGTTTGTTGGCTGTTCTGATTATCTGTTGTGATTTCATGAGCTTAATTCTTTCGGATGACCAGTATGTCCTCCCTTTGCGTGGCCCGGAATTGTGACAGCTTTGTATGAGACGATTTCTATCTCTCTGGCAAAAATTGATGAACCAATCGTTTGGATTGGTTTTATTACTTGGCTTTTGATTATGCAGGACTTTATCAAGCATTTGATTTATCCTGGTCTATTCTGATATCTATTTTCTTAGTGCCAAATATTCACTGCTTGTCATACTCCTTTATTCGCAAACTGGCAAAATAAATGTATTATGAACTTGATCTTTTTGAGCCACGTATATTATAAATTTGATGTTTAGGGCGCTTTCTGTTCAAAAATTCCTTGTTTGCTAAATGTATTCATTGCTTGATCAGAATTTATTGATAATGCTAATTCATGAATAAACATATTAAAATAACTATTCCAGTCTTCTTTTCCAAAACTTCAAAGTTGCTGCAAACATGTATCCCCCGGAATAATCCCAATTTTCATTATTGAGGGTATTTCTACGATGCTGAGCGCTATCTTCTAGTAGTATAATGGAACGACAAAAGACAGAGGGTTATATGATAAAATGTTAACTTATAAGCCAGCAGATATTTAGCAAAACAAATGATCAAAGCGGAACCCGACAATAAATATCCTCTCATAACACGAATTGAATTCCAGGTTTTTTCCTTTAACTTTAAACTTACCTCTAGTTCATATATGCTTATATGCTCTGCTCTGACATATTTCATTTGGCGCTTACACCCCATTTGGTGTCGACACATCATTTCCAATTTAAGTGCTAAAAAGAATCAGAAAGCTGCGCTCAACCAAGTTGCAGCACCTAAAAATGTGCATACATCCTCCTGAACTCCCTCGAAATGAAAATTTACTTATATTCATTAAAATTCAACATTGGCATTCCTTTTTTTTTGTCAAAATAATACGCTTTTCGAAGTCGTTCCAGAAATTTTTTCATAACTCGCTCTGAAGTGTAAAGATGACGATTCAGAAGTGTTTGTATCACTTATTTCGAACAGTTTTTGAGATTTAAACAATCTTATTTTAGAATTTTATTATATTATGTTGACGAATCACAAAGTTAAAATTAAGTCGAAGTTTTCTCAACCAGTAAATTTTAATTAAATTTAGCTACTACCTTTGTCATCGGACGTATATCTGAAATATTTTCATTGCTGGAATATCAGCTTCCTAACGATGCTAGAAAATTCCAAGAAAGTATAATTCCCTCTGAAAGTAATTGCTTCCAAGACTGATTTGAATTTCTAAAATTCTAAATTGCGTGGACGTTCCGAATGCCAATTTTAAAAGCGGAAAATGGAAAAAGAAACTTTATATCGAGATTTTATTTACATAGTAGGAAAACTTCAACAACGTACAATGCATCATGAAATATTTTTAAAAACTTATGTTTCCATTTCAGGTTCATAAACAATATCCCGTCCCAGCTCACTGGCAAATTCATAGTAAAGTTGCGAGACGTCAAGTGGCGGGAAGCGTATTTTTTCTGTTGGCGAAATGTGTACCACTGCAAGAAATAATAAATACTATTTCAAACATGACAGAATACAAAAAACTAAATATAAATGGCTCAAATTAAAGGTATAAAACTTGCTAAGAAAAACTAACTATTGCAAACACCGCCAGAACCGGTATCGCGATAAGTAGCATGCATTATTCCTCGCCGACCCAGTTTATATGCTTCTTCATCTGTCATTTTAGGCTGAGAAAAATTATCTAGGATGCCATAAGCACTGAAACGAGTTATAATTTATGCATATCTCTGCTCTAATTTTTTCGAGAATATTAGAACCAACTAGCACACTCCCTATAAATTCGTTTACTATTCAAGTTTAAAAGTACGAAAAGCTGTTTTTTTAGTAATTTACGTTTTAGTAATTCGAATATACGCAAAACACACCTCAGCGAGCCTGAACCTATGCTACATAATCTTAACTGGACACGTTGTCCTTCACTGTCCACTTTGAAAATTGCAGGACCACGCTTGTCATACCCGGCAATCATGGAACCCTATAAAAAATGATGAGTTTAAATAAACATATTTTATCTTTATCAATAATTTTGTGATTAATTAGCGCTCTTCAACAAAATAATGTTATAAGGGTGCAAAGCCGAGAGTAAAGTACTATGATTCAGAAGAAAATCTTAAATTCTAACACTATTTTCATAGCAAATTCTCCTAATTTTAACTTGATATATATAAATTTAGCAAATCCAAGAAAACTAAAGCAAAAAAATATAGTTGCAGATCTATATAAAAGTAATTAGCAAAAAAAACAAAAAAAAAAACACTCACAACTGATAATCCATGATTTCGATAAGAATACAAAACATTCTGGAAATATTTGCTTGCAGCAGCCACAGTAATTTCTGTCTTTTCTCGAAGTTCGTATAGTCTAAAAACGCGTAAAGGTAAACACGTGAAAAAAAAACGAAAACTACAGTAATGTAAACTAACGTGCAATATTTGGCAACGATACGCGTCCAAAACTGACAATCGGCAGCACCACCAGCCATAGTTGTTACCATTCGATCCCCGATATCCAATATTTTCATAACATTCTTAGATGCTAAGAAGAATTTTAATTTATAATAAACTTTAAACCTTCATACAACAGAGAAGTAAGAAAATTTTTAGATTTCCATCAGAAATGAATCTAGATGAAATTAGCTAACATATGTATTCCCCTGCAGATGCACGCGAATCCGCAGCAATTATAATTCCTCCCTTATCTGCTGGTGTTTTTGGCTCATAGATGAACGCAAGTGTTGTAGTTCCTTTTAAGAACTGCAAATTCTTCGCACCTGAATGTTTGCCGAAATGTGATTCAACAAACTCAGCAGGCTGAAAGCATAAAAATTCAACAAAATGAAAGCAGCACTTATATTATCCGACATCAAATTTTTAAAAAAATGGAGATGTGTTTCGCTTGCTCTTCCCTCGTCCTCTTTCGCAGTGACAAAAGTGATAAAAAACTGAAAATCCTAGAAGTATAAAGCATGATGGTATGCAAATAGGTAAATTACTTAAAGAGATATGAACAATGCCGCACCTCTCCTCCTTTAGAGACTTCTGAAGTTTAGTCAACAATGTTAGGAGGGTACTGAAACATCTTTAATTAATATGTTACTTCCTAATAATACCATAGTACAGCGACAGCAGAAACCGGCTGACTATAAAAATTAGTCAAGCAGCTTCATTAATTATAATCGAGAATATATTTCTCGTCGTAACTATGTATCAATGGAGAGTGAAAGAATTACTCACAGTTCCATATGGAGGCTCCATGAAGCAGAAATCATCGATGATCGGTTCATGAAGGTCACGCTGCGGTACATCTTCATCCACGCTGCTGATTAACATTGATATCTGAAGATATGGAAGTTCAACCCCCCAAAAATTATTCAAACAACAACAAACACCCCAACACACACACTTCCCCCCCTGCCTCCTCCAACAATGACTGAAAAGTTATGAAACCAATTTCGATACGCCACTCTGGTTTTATCACCATGCTAGTCCCTCGGTTCAAATTTCTCGAGAAATGTCATTATCCCGATATATCGAATAATTGGATGATTGGCTAATTTAGTGGGTTCCTCAAAAGAATTAGCTAAGAGTTATTAGTAGTAAAAGTTTTGTCATCGAAAAATGAGGTTTGGACAGTTGCAGATATCTTGACACTGCAATAATTAATAGTAGAATCTTAAATGAGTAATAATAGAGGGAAGAGTTTCTATTTCAAAAAATTTTAAAATACTATAGTTATTCGAGTTTAAAAAAATTCATTTTGGATTTTCCAGCGATTACATTTCTTATGTAATTTCTTATTCAATGCAGGTATTTTTCGCAGTCATTCAAAATGTTCGTGACCGCGTCAAAAGTATTATCTGTAGTATCGAGTTTCACATATCTGCAGTCTTGTATAATATTTGACAGTTGAAGAATTCAAGTCTCTATAGGAAGTGTATTATTCTGATTGATGCGAATTGGTTCTTTTACAAATTTTTAATCGTATTAATTTCCAGTTCCCGGAAAAAAAACTGGTTATTATAACTTTGATTGTCTTAAATTTGATGCCAAACGATGAAGTTGTACAAAATTGAATTATTGAAATAATTTACCGGAAGGATGAGTGTGATGAAATATTTTATTTGCTAATTATGGATACAATATGGGAGATCGCATGTTATACATTACAAAGTGCATTAATAGGGCAACTGCATTTCAAAAACAATTGGATATCAAGTATATCACAACGCAAAGTCGTAATAACTAAAGATGGAAGCATATGACAATTTGGCGACCTTTTTAAGAGAAAAAATTTTAAAAAATTTCAGGAAATCAATATCAGAGTATTTTTTTATAGATACTGTGACTTTTATATATGAAAATTTTGATATATAATTTGGACAAATTATCAGATTTTTAAGTAATAATATGTAGATGGAATTAGGGAAATATTCAGAAATGAAACGCATATATGGACCATCCATTTAACTAAAGTTTTAAATCATACGATAAAACTAATTTCTAGAATAAATTCACTTCGAAAATAAAATTTTTAAACTATAATAGAGGAATTATCGATTGAAAGAGATTGCAATCATTTATTTGAAGATATGATCATCGTTTTTTAAAATGGTAACCAAAACACGAATAAGAATTTATATATCAGAATCTTGATTCTTGGATTTTCTGCGCTGTTCACCACCACCACCATGATAATTACCTCTACGTTTATCATTTTTATTATTCTTCGCTTTCATACTACCATGATGTTCCAGGCGACATTGCTCATCAAATTCTTTGATTTCCATTCTTTTTGTGGCAATTTTCTTCTCAATCATTGTGCTTACTTTACATCTGCAACAGTTTGACAATTTATGCGCCAATATCACATTTAAATGCTATTTTATATTTAGAATGACTAACAATTTACTGATAGTGCAACATTTCGACAGTTGCGCACAATATGTCTTCAATTTGCGTGCTTCTCGAAAGCACAACTTCTGTTGTGTATTATTCTTCTTGTTTTTATGAATCGATCTTCGATTCTTTCTCTTATTTTTATCTTTTTTAGTGCTTCCAAGTTTGCTCCTTCTGAACGGATTCCTTTGTAATATTGCATCACACTTAGCTTTCTGCAAATGTATATTTGTATTTCTTTGGCAATCAAATTTTGAAATTCTTTTTTGCAATAATTTATCTGCTGGTCTTAAAATTATTTTCCAGCAAAAGATCTATGTGTCATCTCAAGCTTTATTTCAAATAGTAGTATTATTATTTTATCTAGTAAATGTGTTATCTTCTCAGCAGTTATCGACTGCGCGATAAATTTGTTGTTCTCTATTGACAGTTACAAGTTTTTGGGTATCAGTATATCTCAAGAACAAGCCTAATTTCTCATTACCGCTAACCTAATATCTTCTCTAATTGTTCTTCTAATTCTAACAATCTAACAATGATACCTCATTTGTTGTGAACTTTATCAAGTGTTTCAGAATTACATATGGGAAGTGTTATTCCCTAAAAAAATTAACACTGAAAGTTTGTTTCCTGTAACTAAGTTTAATTAATTCAAATAGAATACGTTACTACAAAGAATATCACTATAATGAGATAAAAGATTAAATTAAGGAATAGTTCTACGAATTCAACAGAATTAACTCTTGGCACTTTTTCCAAATGGTTATCACTCTGGCTTATTCATTTGGATTGCATCATTTGCTGGAAACTTCTGGCAAAGACAACATCTATCTATCTTATAAAAGCAATTAATTGTCTTCCAAATCACGTGATTTTCAATAAAAAATCAGACCTCAGGGATTTTGTCCACTTAATAAAAGATATTTCAATTTTCTTAGTCTTTTCCATTCAAGTTAAATATCATGAAAACTCATTATAATTTTCATGCGCTGACACAATTGTTATTGTGTTTTCTAACAATTTACTGATAGTGCAACATTTCGACAGTTGCGCACAATATGTCTTCAATTTGGTTAAAAAAAAAAACTTAGCAATACCTTTTTCGCATTTCCGATTGTCGTTGCAGTGGATGATTTTTCGCGTAAACAATTTTCGTAAAGCGAACTCCGCTACAAAATAATCCATCTTGTGATTAAGTTTTAAAAAATTGTTACAAATTTAATGCTGAGGAATCTCTTAGCAGTTAAGATTAATTTGTTTAATAGAATTTCTTGGCAGTTATGATTAATTTGTTTACTACAATTTCTTGACAGTTACGAGTAATTTGTTTACTGGAATTTTTTGGCAGTTTTTATTAATTTGGTTGGTAATATGTTCATGAAGAAATGATTGTTTTCAGGAGAAAGGTTAAATTAAATTTCTAATAGAATAGTGAAGTTGATATTCTTAAAAGCTAAACAGTACAAAAAATTTTCCAAATAAATACAATTTATATTTCCTTTGAAATTTTAA